GTTCACAAGCTTAACATAATCCTGATTAGCAATCTGTACATTCAGATTAACAATCAAATTAACATTCAAAGCATCCATCAAATGGAATTAAATTTCCATCATCACAATTTTCATTTCCTACTACTATGCCATCTCCACAAATAGAAATGCATTAATTTTCATATAATTGCCAACCTTAAATTTAACATTCTAAGCAAACTCTATCCAAACATTTTGTGCATCCTAGTTCACATATAGATTAACATTAAAAGCATCCATCTTAATCAATTTCATTTCCATCATCACATTACTCATTTCCAACAATTATATTATCTCCACAATAAGACTTACATTCTCTAGAGACTAAGTCGATCTCCCATCCCAATCCTTTACATGAATAACATTACCCAGATATACAACTAAAACATTCCTTCTGACATTAAATTTAACAGTTTTAACATCTAGATTAAAATATCATGTTTCCTTCATCGCATGATTCATTAGAAGCAACTATTCCATCGCCACAAATACTGAAACAAGAATTATCTAATAAGTTTATATAATATCCAAATTAACACTCATAACAAATACCCATTTGGCAATTAATACAATTTTAGTCACAAGAGAATTAACATTCAAAGCACCCATCATAAGGTATCTCATTGCCATCATCACATTATTCATTTTCGACAAGTTTAAAATCTCCACATATTGGCGAGCATTTCTAAACTTATTCTGCATATTGCCACCCTTCTTAACAATGTAAGCATGCACCTCTAACACAAAAAGCACAACCTTCAATAAATTCAGAAATGTCTAATAAACACCCTTCAATAGGTAATCCTAGTTAATGTATGTCAATATATTTTTCTGGAGCTGTTAGAAATAATTAAAAATCAGTTATCCCTAAAGTAGGATAATCTCCTGTCATATCAAATTATGGCATTATCACATCAACACGTATTTTGATTTATGAGTTTGTGTGCACGATATTATTTATTATTACATCAAGTATTTATATATGATTACAAAATGGCCTTGTCCAAATTATCCTATTTGATAATTACTATGTTGTAGTTACAAATTGATCATCAATCTTAACAGTAAGAGAAGGACTATCAGCATTAGTTATTAAGAATCTCATCCTTGAACTAATTTAAATATGAGGATCTAAATCAATTGATATTTCCATATAATTTCCATATGTCCATTAATATTGATATTCTAATTAGAAACATATTATACCAATGCATTAAATTAAAGTAGTAAACATTTCCATAGTTATCCATTATAAAGTTATAGGAACTAGTATTAAATTGAAGCATTATGTAGAACTACATGAATTACACCCAGAAGCACATTCATCAATCGCTAATTCAAAGTCTGAAATTCCCCAACGAGATCCTTAACCTTTTAAAATAATCAATAAAGTTGGATTTTAATGTTGAATAGTTAAAGTGATATCAATAACTGAATCACTATAGAATGAATCTTGGCAAATGTTTATTGGAGTATCAAAGTGAGAAAAAATACTTTAGTATGTAATTACTTCATCAGTTTAAACTTCAAAGAGCAAATTGTTCCAAACATCAATTCTATTTATTAATCAATTAATACCTTCAAAATTTGAAAGAAATCGTGATTTAATAATGAGGTTCAAGTTGAAATGTCTTAGAAATAAGGGAATTATCAATTTTTGAAAAATTTTCCAAAAATAGAATATTTGAATAGCCACATGTATTTACTAAATATAAAGAGAAGTCATTATTACTCACAAACCAATCTATATATTACTAACAATAATACCAACATCTGAATATGTGAAGGCACCTGATAATTTCGAATAAACTATTTTTCTACTTGTTATTTCGAGCAGTATAGCAAATAAGATAATAGCATTGATTAAAATTATATTGCTTCTCTACTAAAAGCGAACAAAAGTTTTCATTAATTGTAACATTAATAAATTTAATACAATATTTAATAGAATTACAAAAATTTTATAAGTGAAATTTATAAGTACTTGCAAGTTTTGATCTTACAAGCACATATCTAATCATGTATAAAGATATAGTAATTCGAAGTTTAGTGATATTCTCAATTCGTAATTTAAATTCATGAAAAGAAGAGATATTAATCAGAATCAAAATGAAGACATAAAATGATTTAAATATTTTAACAAACTTAAAGTAAGATCATGTTATTTTGATAATCAATTCAACAAAAAAGAAGGTAATAAGATCTATGAGTATTTGATAATCATAAAATTAAATTATATTAAGAATTCAAATAAAATCAATATTCTAAATAGTTTTTGCGTTCCTCAGCTCTGCCACTTAAAATCTTATAAATTTTTTTTGTGATTTCACTAAACTCTATCATCTCAATATCCTAAAAATATTAAATAAATAAAAAGTTAATTGAGTTACATTGAGTTTAAGGCTATTCTGAAGCTCATTAAAGAATAAAATAAATTGATTTGTGATTGTAAATTTTCCATTTTATAGAAATTTGAAAATGAAAATTTGATTCAAAAAAAAAACAAATAATATAATTATTAATTCTCACAATTCTTGAAACAAAATATATAGTAATTAACAAAATAGACAATTTTTATGAGATTTTATTTATAAGAAAAATAATCTAGTTCGATTTGTATTCACTTTCAAATGACGATCTATTATTATCATTATTGAAAGTCAATGGTATCTTAATATTTTGAAAAATTTTGATCAAAAAATTAGTAACTGACAAACTTCATTAATAGTTATAAAGGTTGCTATTGAAAACTCAAATTCAAAGAAAATACCTTTATTGAAAAATTATCCTTGAAGATGAAGAAAATCTCAAACTCAAATAAGATTTTTAATTAGAAAAAATTACTATTTATTAATAATTTAATATCATGCTTGAGGAAATTTATTAGGATTAAAATAGACTCAAAATTTCAATTGAAGAAGCCAATAAATTTATTGAAGAAACAGATAGACAATATTTGGATGAACATTATTAATAAATATATGAATTAAGCGATTAATTAAAAGATTTATTAGATAAATTCAAATATTAATCTCAACATTAAAAATATAAGGATAAAATAAATGAAATAATTTATGATATAAAAAAGGATTTTGGTTAGTTAGAATTTCTTGCATAATTGATATATTAAAAAACATTGGCAGGATATTAAGAATACAAAACAAAATATATTTAGATTTAGTAATTTTTAAAGAATTACTAAAAATAGCAATAATAATTACATCAATAAATTTACAATGATTAATACTTTGAATAAATAAATGAAGAAAGATTAAAAAAATTAATAATAACATAAGACAAATTCGATTAATTTAAAAATTAAATGAATCGATTAAAAGATTAGTTAACAAATATGATCAATAATTAAAATAACAATAATGAATAAA